ATCAGGAGTAGATGAATTAGGGAAGGATGTGACTTTATAAACAAGGAAATTCGGTCATTACTAGCCTTATAATACTACGATTTACTACGCGTAACTTATCAACTTGCGCTCATATCGGTACACAGTACATTCGCTAGCATGTGTGAAATCGTTTCTTTGTATACACCCGCAATCCGGAGATACAGATATAACTGATTATTGCACGATGCTAGGCGAATGTACCCCGGTGTGACGATTTCAGCTCAAGTTGAGATGAGATTACGCGTATGTAAATCGGAGGTATTATAGGGCTAGTAACATGACGGAATTTCCCTTGTTTATTGAAGTCACACTCCTTCCCTATTATCTACTCCATGCCTGAATCATGTAGGGCGTGGCGCATCGCTGGGGATGAGGAGGACGACAGCCAAAACTTTTCCTGTGATTGAGGAAAAAAGCTGCAATCGGTAATTGACAACAATGAGCGTGCAGCATGCAAACATAGACGTCGTGAATTTCATACGATTTTACATTGTACTGTATTTACGCGCGATATAAAGTTATAACTCATGTATATTATAAGTTCTCACCCCATATTTGCATTGAAAAAGTTGGCGTACAAACATTGGTTGACATTAACATAGATTTCTTGTAGCCTGTCTATAAGTCGGCACCCCCTGATTTGTTTATTGAGTTGTGTACAAAAAGCCGCTGGTTTTATACACAAGTAAATACTATATATATACTTGTAGTGTACATACACACGCACGCACGCATGCAAACGCTGCGCGCCAGACACATGCCTAGGTCATGGTGCGAGCCTAATGCACGCCAGGAATACTGGCAAATATTCAGGAGTGTAATTATATATATATATATATATATACATCTATCTATATATGTTATATATGTACATATATATATATATTTAGATATCTATTTACATAATATAGATCTCTATATTCTACACTCCTGATAATATGATATGCACTAAACCAAAAGAGGACATTAACGGCTCATAGATTGCACAAGTAAAAATTGCTTCTTGTTGTGCCCGACAGGACAACCAGATCTGAAAATAAGCATCGAGGCCTGCTTGTATGAATGGCAATGAAATTTGCTTCAAGATTGTAAAAGCTTGTTCACTAATTATTGATGGGATGATACAAAGCAGAAAGTTTGTATTCATTTAAAATTTTGTGTTTTTTTCTAATAGGTGGAAGAGTTGATACAGAAGCACAAAGCACAGTTGTTGGAAAAACGATACCGTTTCAACATGGGACTTTTGATGGGTATGCACAGAAACATTGCACATATTATTGTAACTTGTTCGTATATATATATATGCTTATAAGGGGTATTAGGTTGCACCACTTAATGTGTAATCACACAACACCTTCCATCTTGTACCTATTGCAGGAGAAGCTCGTAGGAAGGTGAAGTGGGCTGACGGCAAGATGTTAAAAAATGAGATGGACATGCAGATTCTCGATCTGCTCGGACCAAAAACTACAGAGGACATGAGTGTGAGCATGGACAAGTCTGCTGGTGCCAAGGCGACAAGTCGTGGTCAACCCAACAAGGCAGCAGCTACAGCAGCGCCAGCAACAGCAGCAGCAGCATCAACAAAACCAATTGAAAAAAACAAAACTGGTAATAGTTTTTGAAGTTATTCATGTCTAATCAATTGTATGGTCTATATACACATAGTTCGTAGAGTGAAAGAGATGGTGGTATAAAACTCTTTTGGTGTAAAGATTTAGAACATAAAAAAGGATTAATTGAATTCACTTTAGTTATTTACGCATTTTTATTTACTCTAACGAAGTAAATTTTGGACGATCCTGTCTAGATCTCACATTTCACATACAATGGAACCAGATTAAAACCGGATTAAAACTGGATGGTGGAAAATTTAGTTCATTTGAATGAATAAACATCAATATATAACACAAAATATATAACTCCTATATGTGTAGGAGTTATATATTTTGTGTTTATGTTATCGTTCTATTTATAGCCATGTTCGGTGGTTCTGATATATATAATTATATATTATTAGCCCTTGCTGATATGAATAAACAGCCGATCTGTGGTATTGGTTTCATGGTCGCACGTAAGCCCTACACACCGTACCTACGCATACAATGAAACTGCCTATGTGCACGTATCTAATCGATAGACTTGCTTATTAGTTTTTAGTCATCACGTGCACATGATAGCGTAGTGTGTTACCCTAGATAATTAGCAACAATTTCCAGAGAGCGTACGATGTAGAAAATTACCTTCCGCCCTTGCGCATGTCCGTGTGTGCTTGAGTAAACATACATGACGGCAAATTGTATGTTCACATTATGCGTCGTATGTACACAAAACCTTACTGTTAAATTCCGATCACATTTTTTTTCCTCTGTGAACCACATCATTTACAGGGAGAATTCACTTATAGTAACCTGCCCCAGTTTTTGTCCACATCAACCTCTATATTGTAATCTTATTATAGCTAGGCCACCTTTCCTGCGCCAAATCACACGCGCGAATGGCTCATTTAAAGCAATGATTTTACACATTTTGTGTGCCTGTACTCCTTGCGTGACACAAACTCTATATACAGCAAGGCTAACATGCCTTGGAACACTGACGCATGTGTCACATGGGACGCATATGTCACAACAATATGTGCATGCACTGATCTGCATTTCAAAGTAGATTTATTTACATGTCAACATCAATAAATTCTCGCATCGCACGAGATCGACCGGTATTCGGTCTCTACACTATATGTTACCTTTATCTATATGTAGAGATAGGGTATATACCCATCTAGAATATTTTACATACACACAAAGTTTTGTGGATGCATATTTCTTTTTAGCGAATCCCAGGAATGCAGATGCAAGTTTGCTGCTCATTTGCTGTTTTATAGCGTATAACACAGTAGTAATTTTTACATCGAAGTAACCACAAATATTTGCGTTATATCGGGTGGTACCTAATTTGTCTACATGTATTAATTTTTCGCCTTATTTGATATATAATACTTTTAAGGCTTACTCGATATTCGAATTTAGAGGGTAACAGACAAATAGAACACGCATTCTAATTGGTCAATCGAGCAGGGAAAATTACTTAATGCATAATCTGAATTAATAAACTTTGGGTCTCAAATTTCGAATTTCTTTCAAAATTCTTTTTCTGGACATTTGTACACACGCGCACGTCGGCAGTCATTCCTCGAAGTTTTTTAATAGCATTTCAAAAAACTTTTTTTCATTGCATGGTTACTATCATCATTTACCCGGGCAGCTGCGCCGACTAGATACAATAATGTAATTAAGCCTACAGAGTAGGATAGGTTACCCTACCCTACTGAGTTACATTATTGTGTCTATTTGTACGGGAATTACTAATAAGAGCGCCAATTATGCTCATTCTAACGTCGAAATTTGAAAATCGAAAAAAGCTTTTGAAACCAATCAGATAATGTTATCTTAAACTCCTCGACTGAACAATTAGAATACAGACTTCAATCGTCTGTTATTCTCATAACTCGATACTCGTGTAAACCTTCAGGGCTTTCGTACGTTACTCGTGCTATCGTTGATTTATGCTACACCGAGTACAATATATTCAAATATTGACGTTTCCAGAAATGTCGCAACTCCGGCTCATATCAATCTGCTGCGCATAGGGATCCTTTCCTCAACTGATTTAAATTATTATCGTAGGAATGCATATCGGCTCGGTTACGCTTGGCATGCATTTATTATGATTTATTATGCTGCTGCATGCTGCTGCATTATGCTGCATTATAGACCCGTAGGACCAACGACCCGTAGGACCAACGACCCGTAGGACCAGCGACCCGTAGGACCAGCGACCCGTAGGACCAACGACCCGTAGGACCAACGACCCGCAAAGACCCGTAGGACTAAAGAACTGTAATACCTCGCGCTGCTCATCCTCCTCCTGACCCTATAACGTCTTTCACCTCCTACTGTCCCTTCTCTTGCCTGCGCCCCCTCATCCCCCCTCTTTCTCCTCCTTCTCCTCAGCTCTGTCTATATATTGACCTCCCCCTGTTCCTCCTTCAAGAGTCATAAATGTATTATTTCCATAAGGAGATACGGGGTAAGAGAAACAGAAAAAAATGGGGGAGGACAGATATAGAGAGACAGTCAGACGGGGAGAGAAAGGGACAGAGTGGGAGGCAATGGATGTGAGGGAGCGAGCGAGGGAGGGAGGGAGGGAGGGAGGGAGGAAGGAAGGGGGCAGTAGGGAGGGATTGCTTGCTTCCTTCACTTTTATTTCCATTCGCATCGCGTATACGTGATTTCATGACTATCCTTCTTTCAACTTCAGAGAGCGATCGTCGCTTTCACACTTCTCATGGCAGTTGTTGCAAAATATAGCCACGGGAAAAGCCAGATAAACTACAGCTGCTGCTGAATTATGGTCGTGTCTTCCACCAGTAACTCCCACTAACGCTACAACAGTAATTAACGTGCAGGAGCCATTTCATTGAAGTGCGTGCATTTACATTCTAAGCAGGCGCGTGACAGATCGCAGTCGGAACGCAGTCAGCACACAATACTATAACGTCTTACAGCGTACTAATATCACTTATCATCTGGAAACGATCTCATTTTTATAGATGTGTGCAGATGAGAGATATGGTAACTGAAGCAATAATAACCTTGGTAACAGACGTAGTACGCGCAGCAGCAACATCAGCAACAGCAGCAGCGATAGAAGCAGCGGCAGTATCTGCTGTTTGATGTACGGGACTATATTTCATTGATGCAGAATAGACGAACTTCGGTGATGTAACTTATGGTTTTATTTGAATGCACTCATGCTCATGTCGCGCAAACAGTGCAACAGTGAACACTGTACGTGGTGACATTTACGACGCGTGCGCTCACATTCGACCCCCCCTCCTCCTCCTTCTTCGTCCAACGAGTGGAGGTCGCAATTAATTAAGCTATAGGGGTTCATCTTCACGCAAACAAAATTCTAAAATCAAAAGAATATGAGAGTTGATTCACGCTTGCGAGTGTCTCCCGCATATACAGTAAACCCTGTATATAAGACTCACAAGGGAAATCCAGAAAGTGACCTTTTTGGACAGGTGTCCGTTCTATAGAGGTGACCGTTCTATAGAGGTGCCCGTTCTATAGAGGTAGCCGTTCTATAGAGGTGGTTTCCCTCTATAACTCTCCATCAAGAGAACCGTCAATAGTGTCCTTTGTAGACATGCAGGTTGTCCATTCTATAGAAGTAGTTCACTATATATAACTGCACGTCGATAGTCAAAAAAATAATATCAAGAGCAGATAAAGAATCTGCTTTATCCTTCTTTATCTGCTCTTGATATTATATTATTACTCCTGTTGATATCAAGAGCTAATAATTACATTATATCAGTAGTGAATAATAATAGAATAGAATAATAGAATAACAGATAATCTATTATTATTCACTA